TAAACCGGGTGAATGAAATGGGATGTACAAACAGAAAAGCCAGACGAAAACCAGCACTAAACACCAAAACAGAAAAAAACAAGATTACAGTGGGTTAAGGAGAGAAGCAGAAGTCATATCAACTCAATTACATGAACGGCCAACTGCTATTTGAGAAAGTTGGAAACAGATAGATGGGGATTATTGTTTTTCATTAGTGAAGTCAATGCCTCAAATTACTCAAACTGTCATAAAAGTCGGAGGAAGAGCAATAAAGCACTAATTGTGTGTTTTTTGTTGTTGTTGATAACATTTTTTCCCTTAACATTAAATGATTACATATTTTTATCTGCTTGATCTGGGATCATGCAAACATTTTTAATCAAAAAGTAAGTTGTTTTGTTTAAGGTGTGTTTAAAGCCAGAATGTTAAGCTATTGAGCAAAAACTTTGTTTGTTATAAGGTAATTAAGCAGTGTGAACATCCTGGGGTGATTTCATACTTTCTGCCAGGAGTTGTATTATTCTTATTAACTAATTCAAATCTGGAAATTGTTAAGCTGAGAAGCCATTTTGTCTATATCAATGCCCATGACATGTCTTTATCAAAACTTAAGAAGGGAAGGGAAGGGAAGGGAAGGGAAGGGGGGAGAGGGGAGGGGGAGGGGGGGGTGACGTGACCTATTTTCTTTTTTTTTCACTATGTGTGACTCATAGTCTCATGACTAAGTGGTTTAGGTGAGCACAGACCATTCATGAATCTCACACGAGCGTGATGCGTCTCGAATCGATTTCAGGAGCTGGTTCATAAATTGGGTCACTATGTGTATTCAAGGTAAGCAGTTATTAAATTTGCACGACAAAGATGTTTCAGTCTTCTCAATTGCCATTTTTTCAAACTTGTGTTCATATCGTTAAAGAAATCAATGACGCAATATGACGATCAGAACTTTTTCTATTACTGACAAGACGATGACGACACTAGTCATTAAACGATATATGCAATATCGCTGAAGTTGGATAAAAGAAAAGACAAAACATCACAGACTGGGTTTAACAAAGTCACTACGAGCTGTCATGCTTAGGCATGACATAGGCATAGGCATTTAGGCATAATTTAAATCCCCAACCAGAGCTTTTCTGTCAAAACAAGTGTTGTATCCAGTGTAATAATTGCAATCTAGTTACCATGTGCTCGCGAAAGAAGCGCCGCTTATTTGAAAACACGAGCTGTCTGCAAACATGGACTCACGTGCTGCTCATTTAAACGCTGTCTCTTCCGCGTTTCCGAGTTCACTTGTGTAAAGGCGGATTTCAAATAAAGAAATTATTTACAGTATTTTACACCTTAAGATTAATAACAGTCAATTTTTATTTTGGTTACTTTTCTTAAATAAAACATCATTGATGACGTAGAGCACGACGTGACAACCAACCGGAAACAGCTCAACCCAGCTGACAGTTACTGTTTACAAACAAATGCTACTCGTTTCGCATGAGCGCTGCCTTAAAATGTAGCCGGAAATTGCAGTTTTATCTTTGTTTAAATATCGGCGAAAATTGTGATTTCTCAAGATTACCAGGTCACGGCCAGGATCATCGTTCTCGGTCACACCCTGATTACGCCGCAGTCTTATTCCTCATGCTTTAGAAACGCTGTTATGTGATGATTTTGACTTGTTTCATGTCAGACAAATGATTATATACCCGACTACTTAAACTGAAACATCTCCTTTGTATATTTCTTGTATAGGCTATGATCATTTGTAGGCTATCACTTCATAATAACTTGTATTGCATAACGGTAACTGTAAAACCATGTATTGCGCAACAGACCATAACACACGAGCTGAGGAAAGAGGAAGTGTGTGTGGCAGCTGATGTAATATTAAATAGGATTACATTACCAGTATCTTAAATAGACCAGAGAGAATATGATGAAAGACAGCTGTGGATTGTTATGACTAATAGTAATATTTAAAAAAAATGACATAATACTGTACAACACAAACACCACTATGAAAGTTTAAATGTTTACAGTGGATATTACTGAACAATTTGTTAAATTACCACAAAATGGAACAAAAAAATATAGGCCTATAATGAATGATGCACAGTTTGAACAATTACTTAGCAGATTTTATAATAATATAGCCAGATACTTTGTACCTCTGTTTGGCAGTAGATCATTAGATTCATTTTATCTCATGTTCAATAAATGTATGTATGACCTGCATAAATGTAAACTCAAAATAATTACATCATCATCCCTGAGAGTCCTGAAGAACCTGTCGAGCACCTAAGCAACTGTCCCAAAGTCCCCTCAATGTACACCACCCTTTAGTCTTCATGCTGTGACATACACCTAATGAGAACAAATCAAAATAATATAAACAAGAATGAAAACATGTTAATGCCACAAATGTTAAAATGCAGAACAAATCATCTATTACTTTGGCCTGATATTGATAAACCCCAAATATAACCTATTATATAACCTATAACCTAACCTTCCCCAATGCAGGCTTTAGGATCACAATGTTTGTTTCAAGTGACCTTGATTATTTAAAAGATTCAATTTTGATATAAAATAGTTTTGTTGTCAAGACAGTATGCAATTGTTGATGCGTTCTAGACTAAAATAAATATTGTTAACAGTTTAGTATGGGGTTTTAAAAATTAAATTAAATAAAAAATTCTCATTTTTTACTTGTTGCTTATTAGCTTGCATATATTGACTGTTTATTAGTAAGCTACTTATAAAGCAAATTAATGCCTTATTCTACATCCATTAATCCACCCAACTTGACAACAATAATATTTAATAACAATAATAATATCAAACCATGCATATGGGTTGACATTCTTCCTTTTTTTATCTTTCATGTGTTTATTTGAATGATGTAATTTAGAGTGGACGAATTTGAAACGGAACAACGCACATCTGACAATATTACTCCCGATTGTCTTGTGTTGCTCTAAGCCACATTATATTACATTGTAATAATTCAAACTGGAATGGTTACATATTATCTTAATTAGTAATGAGTGATTATTTAAGTATGGCTCATACAAAAGTCATATTTATAAAATAATAGGAAAAAAAAGTTGTGATAAGAATTCTTTAAATGCATATGTTGTTTAAAGTAACATATGTTCTATATCTTTTCAGTTGCAATGGTACTTTTTGTGGCCA